AAGCAGGAATGTCATAAAGTGTATTTTGAAGCAACTGTGGCATGCGATTCATGCATTTATTTGATACCTGATAAGAGTAGTTTTCCAACACTAGCACTCAGCTACTTGAGAAATGTCTCAGTGTTCAACATTTTATTTTGTCATGACAACAGTATGACATTTTATTCTACAGTAAAATTACCAGTTGACAAATGTTGCTTTGCCGTACATGACCTGCTACCTTGGGACCCATACTCACGGAAATGTTTGTTAGTGAATATGCAAAGTTTCTTGTTATTTAACCCTTCTGTCTATAAACAAAAAACATTTTAGTAGCCTCCCAAAACAGTATTTTTTATATTTCTTCTAGAGATATATTTTTTAATTAATACCTACCCTTGTGTTTTTGTTCCTCAGTCTAGTGGTTCAACACTTGCGGAGCATTACGTGTAGAACCACTAAACTGAGGAACAGCTTCTACCCATGCCACTTTAATTGGAGATTGGACACATTTTCTGTGCTGCTGATTTCTTACCTTAAACCGTTATATTCATACTCACAACAGACTCATGTTCAGGCTGCTGTTTAATACACAGTATTATGTATATTATGTTATTATTGTTTAGCATACGGTTTATCTTAGATCCTTGTTTACTGTTTCTTTTTTATACTTTATCTTTTTGCTATTTTGGAGTGTAACTGGAACCCCGAGTATACAGTTTTATTCCACTTCATGTACCATATGTGATGCGAACGAAAATAAAGAACCTTGAATCTTGAACCTTGTTTAGACAACCAACCGACAACCTTTTAAGAACAATGATGTCAGAGTTTCACATTTAGTCAAACTTACGATTCAAGGACAACCACTTATTCAATTTACATTTGTTTATATTTGTCACCCAGTGTGCAAGCTTTATGTTCCATGTCTTGTTTCCTGTTTTTGGTGCATTTTCTTGCCAACATTGTGGAACCACATAAAGGTCTGGCAAAGTTACTAAAGTGTTTTGGGTTGTTTTCATTGTTTCTCTATAGATGAAGACATTTCTAAAAACATTTTTGTGTTTGCAACAAATAAAAATAATGTTTTGTGAAAGCACATTTCCATGTGTACAAGGCCTAGAATCATGGTATGAATGATGGTATGTTTTTCTGCCTCTGGTTATAGTTTGTTAAAAACAAAAGACAAAAAAAAAAAGAAGCTTTTGGCATTTATTTATTTTCTTGTACATTTGTACTTACGCTGATCCTTAAATTGTTCCTGATGAGGATGCCCTGGTGTGTTTCTATAAATAAGTAAATTAATAGGACCTAATGAAAACCAACCTACAGGACAGTTTAACAAAACATACCAAAACAGTTACCCAAATGAAAAGTCAAAATAAGAGCAAATATAGTCAGGTATTGGAATCTGTGGGTTTAATATCTTTACTGCAGTAGCGTTAATATTTTCCACTATAGTTGTATAACACCAAAACATAACCTAGTAGTACTAGAAAATAAGAGTACAACACTATAAAACTAAGCTGGTTGTTCAAGAAGTGGCAAAATACAAATCTCTTGACTTCATTTTACGTTCCTGATGTTTAGTATGTTTGCTTCTCAAGCTTGTTTTTCTGAACCAAACTGCACATTCAAATGTGAAAAGACTGCAACAGCAGCAACAAAAAATAACTTGTCTTTTCTTGAAATTCAGTTTAAATTGTAAATAATACAGAAAAACAATCTAATCAGAATTTAGCAGCAAAAACAGAGTACTGGAAAATACCATATAATAAGTAAAGGTAATCAGTTTCTGTTTTTTCCAAACCAAGACTTCAGTTGAACTTTTTGAAGTATTAAAAGCAAAATAAGTGCAATCAGTTTCCATTGACTGGAAGTCTTTCATTCAGCTTGAACATTAAATACTGTTCCCACCCCATCCCCACCCAAAAGAAAGTTACTACATTTAAACATAAATAAAAATAAATTGTAGTTTTGCTGCTGACTCTGCAGGAGAGATTACTGTTTTATAGAAAAAATTATCAGCTTTTTCATTTCTGTCCTCAGAACCTTTCTCATTTCGCAAGTTGTAGAGTAATGAGTGTTTCTTTCACCAACGATGCTTTCTTCTTCTATTGCTTTTTTCTTTCATCTGTTTCACCTCCAGCCCCTCTCTAGGTAATTAATGCTCCACGCTGTCGACGACAAATTTTCTTTCCACTTTGTCTCTTCTTCACAGTCACCTCGTTTTCCATCCGATTTTTTTTATACACTGATCATTTTCGCCCTCATACTGCCCCGCTTCTCATGTATGCAGTCTTATTTTCAACACATTCAGATTATCTGGTTCTACTTTTCTTCAGACTGTAACCTAAATTTGGGTCAAGCAAATTAAAGTTTTTCCAAACTTTTTGTTTGGAAAAAGTGAAGACCAGTCCTCCAAGCCAGAAATAAATCAAAATTTTTTACCAGCTGTTGCAACAATGAGTAGGCACTTATAGATAAAAACTCTAATACAGTAGTCCCTCACTACTTTACAGTTTGTTTATTGCGGACTCGCTCTAGCATGGTTTTTCAAAGCAAGATAGGCCATGATACATAATTGGCTGATTGATGGATGAGCCACACGATCGGCATGGAATTTGTATTTAAAATAAATTATTTTAAATTATTTAGCACCTGCTGCACCTTTGTGCAGCCCACAGCTGCAGGATAAGCGTCCTCCTGCAGCTGATCAGCTGTTCTCCATGAAGAGCGACGAAGTGGGTGTGGCCAAGAGCGCTTGCAGGTGGCAAAGAGCAGCCAAGGCAGGAAGCTGAAAACATGGCATTCTGTGCTCTTTTAAAGTGTTAAGAGTTTAGAAACATTGTTTAGAATATTGCAAAAGTGTGGGAAGGGTTTAAAATGCCTTCATATATATCTCTCTCTCTCTCTCTATATATATATATATATATATATAGATAGATATAGATATAGATAGATAGATAGATAGATATAGATAGATAGATAGATAGATATAGATAGATAGATATAGATAGATAGATATAGATAGATAGATAGATAGATAGATATAGATAGATAGATATAGATAGATAGATAGATAGATAGATAGATAGATAGATAGATAGATAGATAGA